TCTGTTGGGATAGGTGCAGTACCCTTAAACTGATGGTCTTTTACATTGGGTTTCGCACACCTCCAGAAACTAAGTCCAACAGTGTGTGTGTACGATTTCCAGTGTGAGAGTTGGAATTTGCCTGGATGGGTATGGTTCCTAGTAAATTATGCTGGGGAGTTAGGGTTAAACTTTCAGAAATTGCTGAAAAATCAAACACAAGAGATATAATCCAGATTTTGCTTCAAATAGCACAGTTAACATAGCTCTAGCTCTCTGGTAATGATGTCACGATGACACAATCAGTAATCAGATTACAAGCAGCCCAAGATTTCTGGATTTAATCTCTGAAAATCACTATTAAATCAACTGTTTAAATAGGGATCTAATTTTGCTTTTTAAGGGAATTGATAGAATTAATCCAGCGTCTTCATTTTTTATATTAAGTGCAAAATCAAGCGACCCTTCCTTCTGGTACAAACAAAAAGTGCCTTATAATTTACAATTGGAAAAAGATGTGAACTTGCTTTCAATGATGTTAGTCTGTGGGCAAGGGTGGGCTGTTCAAAAATCTGATCAGTGACATTACACATAATTCGAGCACACTCTGGCAGCAGGTGATCACGGGTCTTTGACGTAGTCTTAAAGGTGCATATTTGAAAAATATATCTGAAGAACCGAATTTCAGATTTGATTGAAACATTGTACACGCAGGGACGTGTTAAATAAAAAAAAATCATAATGCGGAAAAGCCCTATGTTCTATTGCAAACAGACATAGATTTCTAGTTTTCTTCTTCTTTTTGTTCAACGCAAAATCCCATAGACTCTTGCCATAGAATCCGATGCACATGATTATGGTACACACCACTTTTGCCATTTCTCTTCGTCCTTTATATCAAACTTCATTTCAAAGTTGTGTCCCGAAAAGTCATGATTACATCATCATGGGTCACGTGATGTCATCACAACAATGTGCATACACTCAACCAAAAAGAAAGTCCCCCCTTAATACTTTTTGTCTAGCTCAAAAACTACTGTGCACATTTTGCTCAAATTAACGACTAGACAGACAGAAATTCCTTAGCAATCCAGCCAAAGTCTTTGTTTGGCCCAAAACAGTGAATATGTGTACACAATTTTGCAATTTATGACAAATGGTATCGAAAAAAAGTTGCACTTTTTGTATACATGCGAGGTGAGTGTGAACCACAACTTGCACATATACAGAAGTGTTTGGTATCAATTGTCATAAACTTCCGAAAATTTGTACACATTGTCACTGTTTTGGGCCAAATACAGTGTATGGCTGGATTACTAAGGAATTTCTGTACTGATTAGTCGTTATTTGAGCGAGAGGTGCTCAGTAGTTTTTGAGTTACATCTAAACAAAAAAGTATTGGAAGGTGGGGACTTTTTTTGGGTTGAGTGTATATTGAAATGCTATATCAACAGAACTGTATGTCCGATTGGGTTGAAACTCGGTATGTAGGTATACAGGAATGCATGGGTGTCACCAGGATTTTTTTCAAGAGGGGGCAAAACATATTTTTTCCCAAAAAATTCCTGTATTTCTCAACATATTCTCGATTTATCAGTTTAAGAAGGGGGGGGGGGAGGCAGGGACATTTTGCCCCTCCCCCAACCCATTAAATTTACACCAATACAATTTCGCCTCTTTTTCCTTTTTTTTTCCCTTCTTCTTTTTTTTCTTTTAATACTTTGGGGGGGGGGGGGGGCCTTTGTACGTAAAAATGGAGGTGACGTCACAACGACGTCATCAGGCGATTTTATATTAAATTTTTGAATTTGTTGACGTTTAAGCCATATATCACGACAACATGCCCAATCAAAATTCTTTTTGTATTTTGTTTTTTAGGTAATAGGTATATGCACAAAATTTTTTAAAATGTCATCATGACGTCATCAAAAATTCCATTTTTAAAAACACATATAAGGGAAAGTCCAATCGTAATGCAACTTAGTGGATAGCTATATAATGGTCTAGTATACAAAATCCAAAATTAAGTCACCATGAGGTCATGGTTTGATTTTTTTATGATTTTTTTATATTTACAATTTCATTCTGCTTTAAAAATTTAACACTTCCTTTCATCTGATTGACTTCAAACTTCGTACAAACCAAGATCACAATGCAAAAATGTCCATTGAAAATTGTTATCAAGATGACATCATCATAGGGCATGTGACGTCTTCATAAAGTCTCATATTGAGAAAACCATCAGTCTGAACGGATCAAATTGCAAATGAACATAGTCCAATATGTGCGTGTTATACAGGTAATTTTACTTTAAGTCATGATAAAAATCATCATGTAATTTTATATCATCAATTTGCACAAAATATTTCAAATTTGTAACAATTTTTAGGGCAACCAAATTTTCTGCAGATCAGTGAATTTTGAAAATTTGGGAGATAATTGATGATCTTCCAAACTTACTTTTTTCGGGGCGTTCGTTCCTGTCTACATCGGGAATAGTTGAGTCAGCAATGAGTTTTAAAAACCCTAAAAAAACCCACTTATTTTAAATCTTCCAAGAAGCGCGACAAATTACACTTATTAAAAGACATGTAAAAAACAGTGACACATAAAAATGAGCGCACTCAGTGAATAGCACACGTATGTGTGTACATGTAGTGTTTGTTTATGGTGTATTGCGGACAGAAACCGAATCGAGTTAGAAAACAAGTACAAAACCAATGAGAGCTCTTACGAAAAAGTTCAAGTACAACAAAGGAAAAGGGAAGAGGAACAAAAGAAAATCCTCAATTTACACCATAAACAAACATGCATGCCTGTGGGTGCGTGTATACATAGGGGGTTGTGGGGTACCGGAACAATTGGAGGTACCCCACAAGACCATTTTTAGACCTATACAAGTTTTCACAAGGTGTGTTGATCTATCGCAAATTGAAGTGTAATATGTAAGGGAAATTAAGTATGAATTTCAGCCCAGGAAATTAATTCTGGTTATAGGAGCATTTTAAAATTAGTGTGCGACATTGCAAAAGTTTAGTACACGAGAACAAAGGAAATACCCCACTTCTATGCCTGTGTAAGGGTGTATGTGTGAGTTTTTCTTACAGTCACTATGTGGACATGTGAACTAAAGATGTCCACATAATGCAGATTGTGTTGACGTTATGTGGACTAAGCCGTGTTCACATAACGTTTCGGCCCTCTCTGGAAAACAAGTCTAGAGGCATTTTCGGGTTAGGGTTATCTGTCGCAGAAGGTAGAGAAACATTAAAGGAAATCAAAAATCAAATTTGGGGTTGAAAGAGTTTTCACAGTTTAAGTAAACTTATTTTTTGTACGGAGTTTTCTTAACTACATGAAAACAAAGGAATGTCCACATAACGTATGCAAAACAAACATGGGTGTGGGTGTGGGTGCGTGTACAAACACTGCCTTATGGGATACCGGAACAATGGGAGGTACCCCACAAGGAATGCCCACTGACTTGCGGGGCACCGTTTTGGTACCCCACAAGTTTTTCACGAAATAGATATATGGATTTTACTCAAAAACTAGGAATTTCCAAGGTGGGTTGATCTGTCGCAAATGGAAGAGTTTTAGAAACGGGATATTAAGTCCGAATTTCAGCCCAGGAAATTAACTATGGTTAAAATAAGAGCATTTTTACAAAAGTGTGCGACATTGCAAAGTTTTAGTACACGAGAACAAAGGAAGTACCCCACTTCTATGCCTATGTCAGCGCTCTTGTATTGTATTACGCTCGAACACAGACAACAAAAGGAGCACAAAGGAGCCTTTGACCCTCGGACGACGGTGCCTATTGTTAAAACCGGTCCTCAATCGTACGTTATGTGCTTAGTCTATGGGAAAGTGTTATATTTAGGGACAAAGGAAAACACAATAGTTGGCCTCAGGCGTATAGTAAAAAAAGACTGTGCGTGCTTGTGTGTGTGTGCTCTTGTATTGTATTACGCTCGAGGACAGACAACAAAAGGAGCACAAAGGAGCCTTTGACCCTCGGACGACGGTGCCTTTTGTTAAAACCGGTCCTCGATCGTACGGTTATGTGCTTAGTCTATGGGAAAGTGTTATATTTAGGGACAAAGGAAAACACAATAGTTGGCCTCAGGCGTATAGTAAAAAAAGACTGTGCGTGCTTGTGTGTGTGTGCTCTTGTATTGTATTACGCTCGAGGACAGACAACAAAAGGAGCACAAAGGAGTCTTTGACCCTCGGACGACGGTGCCTATTGTTAAAACCGGTCCTCGATCGTACGGTTATGTGCTTAGTCTATGGGAAAGTGTTATATTAGAGGGACAAAGGAAAACACAATAGTTGACCTCAGGCGTATAGTAAAAAAAGACTGGGTGTGTGGGTGTTCCTGCATGGCATTACGCCTGAGGACAGACAACAAAAGGAGCACAAAGGGGCCATTGATCCTCGAAGGAAGGTGCCTATTGTCCTCGAACGCAGGTTTGTGTGCTTAGTCTATGGGAGAGTGTTATATTACAGGGACAAAGGAAAACACAAAGCCAATCCTCGGAAGCATAGCAAAAAACGACTGTGTGTGTGTGTGTGTGTGTGGGGGGGGGGGGGGGTTCAGCACTTGTAATTTTTGGGGGGCATATGCTTCCCCAACCCAACAAATGCTCCACACAGTCGCCTTCCTGTGGAAATCTATAAATTAATAACTTACCGATGACACACAGAGGAAGACCAAACAATAACAAAATTGATGAGACAGACCAAAAGGCCCAGCAATTAACAAGGCGAATCATATTTCGGGCACTCAAAATGTATGAATTTTTCAATACAAGAATGAAGTTCTCACTCAAAAAAAAAAAAAAACGGGTTGTTGAGAATTTAGTAGTGAAGTAATTTATTGAATATAACAAAAAATTAAAGCTTTATGTGAAAAGATCACCCATTTCTTCCCAGTTTGTTGTAACATGTATAACAGTACACAATATTTCATGGTAGTTCTTTTAAGATGATGGAAAAATACAAAACTTTATACTTACAAACAACACTTTTTTTCTTATCTTCGTAATCCTTAGTCTTCTCTTCAAACAGCATTTCAAGTTCGTCATATGACGGGGAGATATCCTTGATTTGTTTTTGTTTATCAAGAAGAACCCTCTCTAAATCTTTGTGTTTTGTCTGCAGAGGAAAGACCACAAATACAACTTTTTTGTTCTATCATTCCAGTCACTATCATCACAACTATTCGAGATAACAACTACTTTACTGTAAACAAGAAATCCTGCAACTGCATGATTTTTACCTCTGCAGGTTATGGCATCGATAAACAATTATATTTGTTATACCACAGAAACAGACTGTGAATTTTTGTTGGTCCATCATCGATTACATGTCATGCAGCAGACACGCATGTACAGGGATGTATGGCGCCCGTGTGGTACATGAGTGATGTTCCCCACAGGGTACACTACCTTTTTCTTTCCCGCCATTGAAAATGTCATTGAGTGATCTCAGGTACGAGGTTGTAGCTACACTGGAACTACATAAATCGATGTACATTTTTATGAGATGTGCCATGGCGACAGTGAAGCAATATTTCTGCTATGACCGCCATTGTTGTTTACATTGTTCGTCACTGTTTTATTAACACGTTTTTGAACTGTGCAAATTTTGCCATAATTTCACCCTAATATTGCAGACGACAACAGGTTGACTCCTGAAGAAGAGGTTTCTCTCTTGTTCCAAAGACAAGATCAGAAATTAGATTTTTGAACAGGACATCATCGGCACAAAGACAAATATGGGAAAATCTGTGCAAAAGTTCGCCAATTCTGTACTGCAACAGCCCAGACCCACAGTAAGCGACGTTAGTAATCTTTTACCGTGGAATAACAAAACAACAATTGCCTGCTGTGATGGGTTCCATGGGTTTTGTACACCCTCAGGGGCAAATGGTACCCTAAGCTTCGCTTCGGGCCCCCTCATGTGTACAACACACAATGGGCCCCCCGTCAAATTGAGTCCAGAAAAAAATAAAGAGGAATAAAAAAGGGGAAAAGGGATAGGAGGTGAGAGAAAAGGAGGGAACGCACACATTGCGTACTGGCCGCATGACAAATTTAAAGTATTTCTCAAGTTATCGCGCTGACAAGATTTCTATTGTTTTAGCCACTGTGACTTTGACCCTTGACCTTTCGGCCCGAAATGCTATAGGCTTCTTAGGATTACCAAGAACAATCCACAAACCAAATTTGAAGTTCACATTTAAAGTATTTCTCAAGTTATCACGCTGACAAGATTTCTATTGTTTTAGCCACTGTGACCTTGACCCTTGACCCTTCAGCCCTAAATGCTATATGCTTCTTAGGATTACCAAGAACAATCAACAAACCAAATTTGAAGTTCACATGTTAAGTATTTCTCAAGCTGACAAAATTTCCTGGACACCCATCCACCCACACACGCACACCAACGGAAGGACAAAGCGGAAACAGTATGCCCCTTCGGCTTTGCCACGGGCCATAAAAATACCCTGAAGAGATACATGGTCCGTTTATAAAACGACATTTGTATGAAGAAAGTTGTGATCCAAAAGTGGGGTTTTGATGTTATTACGCGTTGCTGAAAATACAAAACTGATAGGTATTTAAAAGGGATCTGTTTGTTTCTAATATAAAAACAAGGTTTTGCCAAAAGACAAGTTTTATCACTCGAGACAAACTCTGGCAACAAACGGAAGGCGGTGTGTTGCTTTCTGACGTACATCGTAGCCGCCGCCGGCGCGGGTCGGCGTCCGTGCCATGCCGGGATAGGTATACACCAATTCCCAATGTCTATTTCTCACATCCTCTACAATTATCTGCATAACCAAATGACGAATTCACCTTCAAAATGTGTCGTACCATGTGGAAATTGCAACCATGGGGCCGAAGGCCCCGATTACTATTTTCTGTAAGAGACCAGTTGCATGTATTAACTAATAAACAGTTTGTCTTGCTGCGCTGCTGATCTGCGAATGGTTTATTTACAAATACATAGGCACTTTTCCTGAAATTGAAACTGGACTGAATTAAAACCAAAAATATTTCTGTAAAAGGAACACGCAATTACATAAGAAGAGGGAGAAACTTGGAGGACCACATGTAGTCTTGAGATAAAACTGAGCTGTGAAGTTACAATGTGCACTGCTAATTGCTCCTCTGTTTTAGTTTGATTAAATAACACTGATTTAAATTTGAATTCAATGTTCATGTACATGTTCAAGCGGTTTGTTCTTATTGATAAACCGAACATCTCAACTAGTGAAACAAAACATTACAAAGCATCTTTGCAACAGTAAGTCTGTACAATTTGTTTTCAAAAATAAAATGCACGAAAATAATTATGCAGACGAAAATACATGGTTATCAAGTGAAGAACAGCAAAAACTTAAAAGGCTTATAAAAGCAAGATTATATTTTTAACCAATGAACAAAATCCTTACAATCTTAAAACATTTTGCTCAAATAAGTCAAGGGAAGAGGGGCCAGGAATCGCCTCAGATTGCACCACAGAGCATCTAGTTGTCCAAAAATTTCTTGGGGTCCTTAAGCAGGCCAAGACCCCATGCCGTAAGACATTTGTGCTCCGCGCTGGCATCCATCCTCGGAGCAAATGATAGTCATGAAAAAAGGCACGAAGCAAACTTAACACCTCATTAGGCTCTAAAAAAGGCAAAGGAAGATGTTCACATGTGACTTGGTTTACCTGTGCAACTTCATTGGTACGGACATGATTCCTGACGGGTACTGGGTATAAGACAAAGACCTACAGCCCATAAGTTTTAATGCAAGTGATTGGGGTAGGTTTGGGGATACTTCCAAGGCAAACAGTTCGAGAGAACATGGCCACAGTATGTCAAAGACGATGCGCCATTCATTCCTTTGCTGGAATTTTCCCAGTAGTTCTGGCACTCATATTGTGGGGAAAATTCCTTGCAGGGAAGAGGGTACTGATCAGCTCAGACGACAATGATAGTAACCATTAATATCAAAATATCATAAAATTATTATATATTAATCATCAAAATGGGAAAAGGGTAAGAAATTAGTTAGGTTCTGTGTCCTGCACACCTTCAGCAGCCAAGCAAGGGCTAGAAGTCCCAACATTCTTATGGAAGCTGTGAACAAAGAAGTACCTTAACTACTGGGGGACATCTTTTGCTAGCAGAACTCGGGGGCTTATAGCAAAGGGCGCGGAACTGTTCACCAATTTAGACATTGAGCCAAGCCTCCCTCATTATGGCTGGCACAAGTGGCCATGTGGCTGCATTTAGTGCACACTTGTCATTGGACGGCTTGGTCCCCTCCACAATCGGTAAATAAACAGCAGCGGTTGCTTTTGTGTACAAAGTTAATGGTTGGCCGACACCACAGACAATTTCGTCGTCAGCAAAATGAAGGAGGGCTGCTGCAGACAAAGCCACCATCCTGACACTATAGGTGTCCCATTACTGCAGAGATTCTCAGGAAGATCTGTAATATTCTGTGCACACTCGCCTCGTCTAAATTTGAAGCTGCCTTTTTTGGTTCAGCCTTCTTGCTGGCTTTCTTTCTGATAGTTGGGGAATTAAACAAATAAAGTGATCAATCTTGAGTCACCATCTTGAGTCACAATGACATCTGGTTTGAGTGTAAAATTCAGTCAGTAATGGTTGTCAGAATTGGATTTTCAAAAACGGATCAACATTTTTATAGAGAATGCCTTTCCACTGCTCTGCCCCATGAGTCCAGTATCCAAGTATTTTTAGGTGCAGTCATTGCTGGCAGGTTGGCTCTTCACTAATCTAGAAGGATCTCCCTTTATTACATACCAGTTCAGAAAATGCTGCATAAATGCTTAGATAGTTTGGCATACCTGTACACTCACACCTTTTGGATAGGGCCGGCCACTAATGCTGCCCTGAACAGAATTTCCCAAATCAAAGGTGATTTGTGAGTCCACGAGGGGGCGATACTTACCTGTTAAACCTTACATTTGCATATTTCTCTAGCCTAAGGCTCCCAAGCGCTAGCATTTTATACCACAATAAATAGCGCACCCAGGCCCTCAGTACCCGCATCAGTCTGGTACCCTCGTCCTCTTTATCTCTATCGTGAGCACTTAGTAATCCCTGCCAGCTGAGCCCCAAGTGGGGAGGGAGGGTGGGAGGTTAAACAGGCAAGTATCGTCCCCTCGTGGACTCACAAATCACCTTTGATTTGGGGGAGTCCACTTCTGGGACTCTCTTACCTGTTAAACCTTACATTTGCATAGATTAGCACCGTCTATAGGAGGAGGGCTTGGGAGAGGCTGCCATAGGTACTACTGTTATAAGCACTACCCTGATTAGATTGGTTATGTCCCCTCTTGTCCTCACCAAAATTGAAAGGTAGACATTACCAAAGTATGTGCAAAAGAACTCACCTACTACAGGTATATGGAGTTCCAGTCGACTAGGTGTTGGAGGCAGTCGACCTGTCACGACGGTTGAGATGAGATGCCATGGCAGCCGAGAGGGCTACTCATCCCGTTTGACCTTCTGAACATAGAAAGTCCCTCAGGTAGCACAAGACGAAGGTTGATGGTGTTTTCCAAGCAGCTGCCTGTAGAATGTTTGGCAGAGGAACGCCTTTCAAAAATGCCCATGATTTCGTTAATGCTCTTGTGTCATGAGCATGGGCAGTGTTCTCTGAATGTGTAGGCCAATCTGGTACAGAAGAGTTGATTGTCCTAACTATTCATCAGAAAATCGTGTACCATGATGCCCCTTAATAAGGCCGAGTTGTTGTAATGAACAGCTGGGTGGTCTCGTCCCTTAGGGGCTTAGTTCGGGAGCAATACCACTTGATGGTCCGAACCGGACACCAGAGTTTGTCATCTCAGATGGAAGAGATGGTTTTTATCTCTGGAATAAAAATATCAGATGGTTGGAAAGTTGATGACTGATTCTTTGCCAGGAACATTTTATGAGGAATCAGTCGAACTCCATGTGGTTCCCATTGTACATGACCCTGCTCTATGATAAAGGCATGCAACTCACTGCGTCTCCTGGAAAACTGTTTTTAATGTCAAGTTTAGCAGAGAGGCATTAGGGGCTCATATGGCGGCTTTGTCAATGCTGACAGAACTAACCCGAAGTCCCAAGAAAGGACTAATCG